GAGGCGCCTCCGCTGCCCCCCGCGCCGGAGCCTCCGGCCGCTCCCGCCATCGCCCCGGCCGCTTTGCTGTAGCCGCCGGCTTTGCCCTGCGGCGGAGCCCCCGGAGCGTGCGGGACCTCCGTCGGTGTAGAGGGCTTGCTGAATGAGTCGTCGTTAGGCATCGAGCTTCGTCCCCTGCTCGCGGATCCACCCAACAAGCTGCGTAGCGCCCTAGAAGGAGTCCGGGAGGCGGGTGCACGGCAGATGGACGTACAGTCCAAATGAAGAAGCCCGAGAAGTGGGTGGGGAGTTGTACTTTTTTTTTTTCTTTTGGCGCGCCTTGCGCAGGACTTTTGGATACTTTTCAGAACCTTCCGAGGAGTGCGTGGGCGGGAGAGGACGCTACGCGGCGTGGCCACGCCCACTGTCCCCCAACTCCATCCAGTGGGCCTCTGTGTGCAAGCTTGCACCAGCTTCACGAAACAGCGTTGCTGCAAAATTGCTACAAATCACAGCCCTGTGCTGAGCACCAACATGAGCACCCTCTTAGCTCTTTGCTCCTAGGAATGGAGCAGAGTGGCGCCCATTGCTGGAGGAGGTGCAGACCACCCTGTGTGGTCGACTTCGCTCACCGCTACCCCCCAGGGAGGCCCATTGGCTAAGAGGGACTGGCAGCCGTTTCCCCACCCCCACCCTCCCGCAGGAATGAGACACGAGTTGAAAGTCTAAGAAAAGCCGGTGCTATGTTTATGTCAAGTAAAGACCCTCAGTGTATTACGAGGCTCAAGCGCCCCGAAAGGCCAGGGCTTTCGGCCTTCCACCTGCCTCCTACACCCCTGTTCATTTGTTCTCAGGATTTCTACCACCTGACTCCAGACAGATAAAAGTGCCACCATCTCATTTAGCTCTAGCCTTCGTTGCTTCTCGCCGTAGGTGCAGATAGCTTTTGCTTTGAAACATTTTCGTTTAGAACTTTGCAAGCATACGAATCTGCCTGGCCAAATTCATGTAAAAATTGAATTTGGCCGGACATGGTGGCTCAGGTCTGTCATCACAGCACTTGGAAGGCTGAAGCAGAAAAACCACCACAAGCTCAAGGCCAGTCTAGGCCACATGAGTTCCTGGCCATTTAGTTATAGAGACCATGTCTTAAAATAAGCAAATAGGTAATAAATGGGGGAAAAAACACAAATGAACTGAATTTGGGACCGCATAAAGTGACCCAAATTTGTAATTCCCACACCCTGGCAGAGGCTAAAGGATCCTTACGTTTGAGATCAGTGTGGACTAAGTAAAGATATTCTGTATCCAAAATTCAAAAACAAAAACAAACAAACAAAATCTGAATCTGGGAAAGGGATTATGCAAAAGGAGACATTATTCAAAACTCATTCCATCCTAAGATCTCTTAGTTTTGGGCTCTCTCTCTCTCTCTCTCTCTCTCTCTCTCTCTCTCTCTGTGTGTGTGTGTGTGTGTGTGTGTGTGTGTGTGTGTGTGTGTGTGT